TATATATATATATAGGCCTATAATGTAGACCCATTGTCACTATTACTGTACGATCACATTATTCACTCAGATGTTATAATGTTATAGCTAATATTTTGTTTATTTCAATCTGTTGTTTGTCATAGGTCATTTGCCGCCAAAATTTTCAAGTGTTACCTTAATTGGTTAATTACTTCTCAATTGCTAATTACGTGCCTATTATCTTAAAATTATCTTGCTTACTTTCCTACAGCCTTATTGTACATCGTTTTTTCATTGTTTTTACACGGTATATACACCCCCCCCCCACCCCACGCACACACAGAGTAATACCACTGGTAATGGCTACCAGCGTCAATAGCGAATACATCCCTATCCTAATTGAAGGTGACAATCCCTTACACAAGACAAACATACACACACAATGCTTTACACAAACTAAATCTCAATTTGAGGTTTAGGGAGTGAAGTTGTTTTGGTCGTGAGAAAAATAAAAATCCTGCAACACTGAAAGGAATTGAACCCAGGACACTGGGATTGGAAGGCAAGCACCTACACCGCCAAACTCCACTCCAAATTGTTTCAATCAGAAACAAGCAGAAAAGATATATTTGTTTACATTGTGTAGGCCTAAATGGTGCTAAACAGCAAACATAAATTGAATAGTTACTATGATTTCTCAGCTGTGATCTAGTATCTAGCTTAACCATTTATACTCTACTATGTTTAGCTCCGATGAGGAGCTCTAGAAACACTCGGCTGATTGATTAATATATCTTTGTTGTGTGGAGGCCGTTAGGGCAGATATACTCTACTGCCTCTATTATACTGCCCTCATCGGATCTTTTGAGATTACGAGAACTTGTTTAATGGAATAGTCAGTGTATAAGAGAATGTACCTGTGCCCTAGGGTTAGATTTGCTGTATAATGTATCAGCATTATAACTTTGCAGATTCGAGTCTAGTACCAGGCACCACACGTTGGAGAGCTATGCTTGATATGATTATAGCGTCAATATACTGTATTCGTGCGCTGTTTTTATTATTTATCTGTTTGTTTATATTGTGTTTACAATACCATGCCGCAAATCTAATTTGAATATATATTATTGTTGAGAAATCTATAATTCTTTGTTTTAATCATGGAGAAAGTAATTTGCTTTAATACATTGGCTACCAGCGTTTATTTATATAATATACCGTACATATTTTGGTAGTATGTTAACCTGAATATGACTTATTTTAACATCTCTCATTGAGTGTTTACATACACCAGACTTGATAATGAACGTGGACAGAGTAATACCACTGGTCGTTCTATTAGTAATTCAGGGTAAGATGCTAATTTACTTTCATGTTCGAATGTCATATTTCTTTCATAAATAAATAAATATATATATATAATGTTTATACATATATATACATATATATATGTA